AGTTCACACTGTGTGATGCGTGGTGTTTTACTCTTCTACCACGCTATACTACATCTGTTAACTTTATTGCCAATTCCTCACCCGACTTAACGCTCGTGTAGTGACTCATTTACAAGGAGTATAAAGCGCCGACATGACTCTTTGGTAGAATACTCGATTGTCACGCAGAGTGGCAGAGTGCCTCCTTTCAAGTCCCGCTCGAACGATGGTTTAGTTTTCGTTGTGCGCGATATTCATTATAGACACCGGTGGTTGCGGTTGACAACTACGTCATCAAAATCTGTGTTCATCTCAATAGCTTTCGCCGTAAAACATTGCAAATGTAAATAGAATGCACTTACAGGTTGAAAGATGCGCCCATGTCGAGCAGCTGGCGGAGAGTGTCGATCAGAACAGGCGTGTCAACGCGGCTCTTAGGCAGACCCCAGTTGTCCAGCCATCCAGTGTACATCTCAGAGTTCATGAAAGGGCCCGATGGTTGGTAACGCCGCCGAACCAAGGTTGCATTTTGCACATCGGAACCTGTGTCGGCAAAAAAGGAAAGAAAAAGTGTATTATATACGTTGTCTATAGTTTCTTTTTCAAGATTGCATGTGTTACTACTACTGGAATATCGGCTACCTCTGACGCACGCATACACACTACTGGATGAATGGATGGATATGGCTGTACCCTTTAGATCGGGCGGTGGCTAGCGCCACCAAGCCGTAATACTTAATGAACCAAAAACTATATTTATTTTTTTTCCCTTAAATAGTGAGGTTGAGGATTCGTACTTTGCAGTGAAGGGTTTAATTTTCACTCGTGCCCTGACTTTAGCCACCAATCAGATAACCTCCTTCTAGTTAATTCTACCCGCTTGAAGTCTATTTTGCCCTCACTGTCCCTAAACCCCAGTGCTTTGAAAAACTCTGCGCCATCAACCTGAACTACAGGGTGAAGCCCTTTACAGAACATTATCAAGTGTTCGGCAGTTTCTTCTTCCTCTCCACACGCACTGCACACCGTGTCTATTCCTTCGTAGTTGGCCCGATATGTTTTGGTTCGCAATACTCCCGTCCTGGCCTCAAACAGTTGAGAACTACCCCGAGTATTATCATATATCTATAGATCCTTTCCCTAGCAATTTCCTGCTTAAAAGTTCGATAGATCTTAGTGCGGACTTCTTAATCATGCCAATTCTCCACATATCGGTCTCAGCTTCCTTCACCTTCTTCTTAAACGATAATTCTTTTTGGTTTGGCCCCCTGCTGTTTTCCAAGTATTTACCAGTCAATTTTCTGGTTCGCTTCCACCATTTTGTATCGACATTCTTTATGTACAAGTAGCACAATACCTTCCTAGCCCAACGCTCATCCCCCATTTCTCTCAATCGCTTCTCAAATTTTATCTTGCTGCTAGCTTCTCTGCCCTCAAATGATGCCCATTCCATATCACCTTGTACTCCCTGATTTGGTGTATTCCCGTGAGCTCCTAAGGCAAGCCTACCTATTCCACGTTGCTTAATTTCTAATCTTGCTTGAACTTCTGATCTCATGCACAAGACCGCATTGCCAATTGTCATACCAGGAACCATGACCCCTTTCCATATTCCTCTGACATCATACCTATTGTAGTTCCAAAGTGCCCTGTTTTTCATTACCACTGCATTCCTGTTACCTTTAGTCGTCACGTATATTTCGTGTTCCCTTAGGTACTCGGCCTCATTGCTTATCCATACGCCCAGATATTTGTATTTATCTGTTATCTCTAGCGTGACCTCCTGTATTCTAAGCTCACTACCTTCATTGTCATTAAAAATCATGACTGCTGATTTTTCCTTACTTAATCTAAAATCTAACCTGTCTCCCTCATTACCGCAGATGTCCACCAATCTCTGCAAATGTTCCTTGTTGTCGGCCATTAGCACTATATCATCTGCGTACATCAATGCTGGTAGTGCATGTTCAATGTGTTTTCCTTGTTTGACGAAAGAAAGGTTGAAGCCCAGTCCACTTCCCTCTATTTTGGCCTCTAATCCTTGTAGGTACATCTTGAATAATAAGGGTGACAGGGGACACCCCTGCCTAAGCCCCCGTTTGACCTCTGCAGGCTTGGATACCTGTTTTTCCCACTTTATAACTACCTTGTTACCATTATATATATCCTTTAAAAGATTAGGGACTACATGTTCTACGCCTAGTGTGTCCAGTATTCCCCACAATTCCTCTTGAACCACGCTATCGTACGCTCCTTGATATCCAAATATGCTAGCCACAAGGGCCTGTGTTCCTTTCTGAAATTTCGGGAATAGGCAGGTATGAACTATGTCATTATTTATTATGCTGCATGTAAGCGAGGTACCCGGTAGTACGCGACTGCAAGGCAGAATGTGCATTCCGTTGATCCTGTGGCTTATAATGGAAGAGTCATGGATGAACCTTTGCGACGGGTTGTAAGATTTAAACCCCACACTAGTTATGCAGTTCACATTGTGTGATGCGTGGTGTTTTACTCTTCTACCACGCTATATTACATCTGTTAACTTTATTCCCGATTCCTCACTCGACTTAACTCTCGTGTTTCCAAAGAGTATAAAGCGCCGGGATGGCTCTTTGCTAGAATACTCGATTGTCACGCAGAGTGGCAGAGTGCCTTGTTTCAAACTCCGCTTGAATGATGGTTTAGTTTTCGTTGTGCGCGATATTCATTACAGACAATGGTGGTTGCGGTTGACTACTACGCCATCAAAATTTGTTGTCATCTCAATAGCTTTCGCCGTAAAACATTGCAAATGTAAATCAAATGCACTTACAGGTTGAAAGATGCGCCCATGTCGAGCAGCTGGCGGAGAGTGTCGATCAGAACAGGCGTGTCAACGCGGCTCTTAGGCAGACCCCAGTTGTCCAGCCATCCAGTGTACATCTCAGAGTTCATGAAAGGGCCCGATGGTTGGTAACGCCGCCGAACCAAGGTTGCATTTTGCACATCAGAACCTGTGTCGGCAAAAAAGGAAAGAAAAAGTGTAATATATACGATGTCTATAGTTTCTTTTTCAAGATTACATGTGTTACTGCTACTGCAATATCGGCTACCTTTGACGCACGCATACAAACTACTGGACAAAACAAGCAACGCCCTCTTGTGTAAATGTTGCGCACAAGAAAAAAAAATTGCAAGATATCCACGGAATGAATAATGATGAGTGGGGCGAAGCGTCCGTCAGTTCATCCGTGCGTCCGTCTGTGCGTGTGTTCATGGGTCCTTCCTACCGTTCGTGTGTCTGTCTGTCCGACCATGCGTCCATCCATCAATATAGGGAACACTTACTGGGCTAAAAGGTGTTTGGCGTCTCATATTTTAGTTGCGAGACTTTTGGGTGGCTGTTGCCAAACAGCCGCCAAATTTGGCGGAGAAGTATGCTCCTGTAGTTGTGGCTTTTTCGTGAGGGTTTGGTGTCGTCCGCGGTGTATTTCGCGAGTGCGTGAGCTGCGTTGGCCGTTTTAATTAACGGGATGGACGTAAAACGCGCTTTGCAGAGGTCGGGGCACGTTATCTTGCTGTGTGCGCTGCTGTGCAATAAAGAAATTGTGTCTCACAGTTAGGGACGACGGGGAAACTGAAAAGAGTCGCAGCAGGTGGTGCACTGCCCCCCCCCCCTTTTTTTTTCACAGCTGATCATGCTGCGTCGACCACGCGCCACGACGGGGATGCTACGACTCCCCTAGCTGTGTCAGCACAAGCCATATCGTTCGGACTCATGTACATATGAGAAATAGACGCGGCTGAATAATAGGGGTACGTTGAACTGTCTATCGTGAGTGATCAGCGTGCAGTGAGAAATCTCTTGCCATTTTATTCTTAGTTACCCTATTAATGTTTATACTGCGCTCCTGAGCTGAGAGACAATAAACCTTAAATATTCGAAATTTAGGTAGTTTGTGCTTATTGCCGGTGGGGCCCTGCAGTTTATTCTTCATATGTACACGAGTCCGAACGATATGCCTTGTGCTGACACAGCTAAGGGAAGCGTAGCGTCCCCGTTGTGGCACGTGGTCGTGCGGCATGATCAGCTTTAAAAAAAAAGGGGGGGGGGGCAGTGCACCACCTGCTGCGACTCTATTAAGTTTCCCCGTTGTCCCTAATACTAAGACGCCATCTCATAATTTCACAGCTGCGCACACAGCAAGAGAACACGCCCCGACTTCTGCAACGCACGGTTCATTCCGTTAATTACGTCGCACACACTCGCGATATGCACGGCAGATGGCGCGTCGTTGATTCCCTGACTCGCACACCGCAAGAGAACGCGCCCCGGCTTCTGCAACGAGCGTTTTACGGTCATCCCGTTAATTAAAACGGCCAACGTAGCTCACGCACTCGCGAAATGCACCGCGGACGACACCAAACTCTCACGGAGAAGCCACAACTACAAAAGGCAATTTATTTGCCAAATATGGCGGCAGTTTGGCAACAACCACCCAAAAGTCCGGCAACTGGGACATGAGACGCCAAACAGAACCTTGCTCCCTTCAAGTACCGCCATCTCGCTTCTTTTTATCACATATTCATCATATACAAGTACCGCCATTCAGCGGACAATCCAAGGACTAAACGCGAGTATGTACCGCATTTCTGCTGTCAGCGCTTTATGAACACCGAGAGCATGATAACGACGCCGTGCTGCGTTTTTAGTGACATGTGGACATGCGTGGATATGTGCTCGAGGGTGGTTATGTGCCACTGGTATGCGGGTATGTGCCACAGGCTACGTACTACGACAACGGGGGAACGTAAAAGCCACGCCATAAGGAGCTTCGCCCCTGAAAAATCGCGGGCTCCCTTATGCACTCGCTTACGATGATGCGAAGGCGAAAACTGTCTTCTATTTTTTCCTGGTCGATATATTGGCCTGCTCTGGCCCCCCCTCCGAAAGTTTTCTGCATTTAACGTGTTTTCCACTGACTAAAATCGGAGGCCTTGCGAGCTTCCTGCACCTCACCCATACAGTTTGGGCTGCTTCCGTGATCGGCTCACGTTTGACCCAGCGACAATCTCATGCTATGACGTTGAGATCAACGTCGGGATTATTGAAGTCGTAAAATCTGGCTATCTATGACAGCGTGATCACGTCATCATGCGGCGATTTCTTGCTTCACTCGTGCTAACGCCGACGCCGATGGTCAATTTTCTCGTTACGAGGAGTCTCAGGCTCTCGCGTTGATGGACATAGGCATGTCGGCAGGCATGCAGAGACAGACAGGAAAGCAGACAAGTGTGCAGGCAGAATGTGGACTTTGAGCTCTGAATAATAGCTAGCGATTTTCTTACCGGCACCGAAGTCGACGGTGGTGAGTGTTCCTTTGACGCGACCACATTTAATCATTGTGTCGTCGAAAGCGCCGTCCGTTGTAAACAGAACCACGTGTCGCCCGAGGTGGGTCATCGTGAGGTTTTTCAGGTGCAGCGTATAGTTGCCGTCGCAAGCCTCGTAAGAGCCGTACTCGTTTTCCAGCTGAAATAAGCGATTCGCGAGTGTGAGAAAATGCTAACCACAGTGTTACATGTTTTCATACATTACTATGGCAGGTTACAACTTAAGAATGAATACAAACACCGCCCACGGCCGTCAGTGTCCAACCCGGAGAGAACTGGCATAGACGTTCTATCCAATCACATTTGCTCATTTCCGTGACGACTAGTATTCGCGCGTACTGAATAGTCTGTGTTACCATACAGATACATGCTGACATCGCTGGTATTAAGCTAGAAGCTTGAACATCCAGACAAATTTTATCAAATATTCTTATGCCGCCGCTGAGCCAAAGGCTGCAGGTGGAAATTTTATTTTATTTATTTATAAATACTGTGAACCCTCTATTGAGGGTCATTACAGGAAAGGTACGACACACTGTACAAACAATTGGGGATATAACTATACATCTCCTAATGATGAACCAGGTATACATATATACAAATCCGTGAAAGCTCTGCATTCCAAACGAAAAACGAAAGACACACACCCCGATTCGCAATGCAACGAATAACAATCGTAATAATATTTACAATAAATCACATAAATGTAAATCAAATAAATGCACACATTCATTAACATCACCCGCATTGACTATGTTACTCGGTAACCCATTCCAATCGTCAATGACATCGGGGAAGAAAGTATGACGGTACGCCTTCGTTCGTGCAAAATAAGGCTGCAGTACTCGTGTATGGTTTGCCCTCACACTTCGTTTCCCAAGTTGTTCTATGTAGTCATTTCTGTTAATTTTAAACTCGCCTTCTAGTAATTGAAAAAAAAAAAACCTTTAATCTATTTTTGCGTCTGCGCTTGTGGAGCGTCTCCGGATCAGATAGTTGTAACATGTCTGCGACTGAATCGTTCTGCTTATATCTCGAGCATATAAAGCGAGCTGCAAGCCGTTGTATGCGTTCAAGATTATTTACAAGCACTTTCTGGTGGGGGCTCCAAACAATACTGGCATATTCCAGTATCGGCCGTATGAAAGCTTTAAAAGCAAGAAGTTTTACGTCCATACTTGCACCCTGCAGTTTTTTTCTTAATATGTACAATTTTTGTGAGGCCCTAGAGCAAACATCAATATGTGTGTGCCACTTTAGGTTATGCGTTATTGTGAGATCTAGGTACTTAAACGCGTTAACTGTCAACAAGGTGTGATTCCCGATACAGTATTCAAATGGAATTATCGTTTTTTTTTCTAGAAATGTGGGTGACGGTAGATTTCGAATAATTGAAATTGAAGAGTGTAATTCCTTTAGACATTCGTCAATGTTCAATTGCTCCTTCCTACCAGTCACTCGCGCGTAAATTAAACAACCATCAGCAAACAGTTTGAGCTTAACATGGGGTTTTGCTATATCTGCGATATCATTGACATATATCAGAAACAATAAGGGCCCAAGAACCGAGCCTTGTGGAACCCCAGAAAACTCTTCTAGTGCATGGGCTAGACATAGAGTTATCAATTTTCACGAATTGCTGTCTGTCATTTAGGTAGGCTTTATTCCAATAAAGTAAAAGTTGACTTAGACCAGCGCAGTGAAGCTTATACAGTAATCTGTCGTGAGGCACCTTATCGAAGGCCCTAGCGAAATCTATGCAGATGACATTAATTTGTTCATTCATATCTAAAGCTGTCGCAAAGTCACCAATAGTTTCGATACGCTGTGTTGTAGTCGAGACTTTACAGCTAAAGCCATGCTGATAAGGATAAAAGTAATTTTTATTTTCTAGGAATGTGATGATATGCTTGACAATGACATGTTCCAATATTTTGCAGCAGATAGATGTGAGCGATACGGGACGGTAATTATTGGCGGACAACCAATCACCACTCTTAGACACAGGGACAACTACGGCTGTGCGCCAGTCCGATGGCACTGAACTAGTACAAATAAACTTTTGAAAAATAACTTCTAAGTAGTAAGATATCCACTCCGCATAACGCTGCAAAAAAAAAGGGTGGGTATTTCATCAGGCCCGCATGCTTTTTTGGAATCAAGAGGCAATAGACTATTCAATACTCCTTCTCGACTGATAGTAATCTCACCCATCGGCTCAGCTAAGTGGCATATTACATCCTCTATAGTTTACATCCTCTAGTGAATAGTTCTCAATATGTGTAGTTATATATTAGCACAGGAAATTATGCTTCCAAATGAAATCACCATGTAAGACTCTCCTACACAGGCTTACGTGACAAGAGAGCCACTGTTATGTGGGCGGAGCTTGTATTTCTGCTGAGGTTGTAAGCCACTATTTGGCTCGGGATCCCGGAGTCGCGCACTCTCGCGTGGGACGTTAGAGCGAGTAATCCACTCTCAACCGCGCGGTGCATGCAGCCGCTGCTCCTGTGTGCGGATCGTCGGAATTCCGGCGGAAACTTGACAAACGAATAGCCTTGCGAGGGTTAACTAACGCCTGCAAAGAATGTTTTCGAGTACATTTATGAATTTTTAGTTTCGGCGCAATCGATATGGCCAAGAAATTTCCTGGGTGGCTGACGAGCTCACCAATGCCACCGATAGCATTGCTGGTAAGAAAGTGAAACTACGTGCTTTTCGCTCGTCATCCACAGTTTCTACCATACGATACTAATTAGTTCGGGTGTTTTGATATTTCAGAAAGTGTGCCACTTTCCAGCATTTACCAGTATGCAGATGAAGCTTGCGAAACGTCGCGGTGTCTCATCGAAGGAGAGGTGGTGTACGATGCAGGCCACATTATTGTTGAATGCGCGGTCGAAGTCCTAAGGGCCTTTACAAACGCTACCCACACAGCCACAACGCACGTGCTGGGAATCCCGCCGCACGCAAGCGGGGGGACAAATAAGCCAATCGACGACGTTCTTTCACTCTCCGCTTGGGTGCGGCAGATGTGCCAGCACGTGGGTTGCGGCTATGCGGCAAGCGCATGGAACGGCCTTAAGGTTCGTTCCACGCGCTTTCCGCACAGCCGCAACGCACATGCCGGGACCTCTACCGCACGCAAGCGGGGGACAAATAAGCCAATTGGTGATGCTGCGGAAGGTGAAAGAGCGTTGCCAATTGGCTTATTTGTCCCCCGCTTGCGTGCGGTAGAGGTCCCGGCTCGTGCGTTGCGGCTGTGCAGGAAGTGCGTGGAACGGCCCTAACGGAGATCACATCACCATCGCGGCTCTGGTCCTGAAAATAAGTGAACTTGTGAACCCGCCATACGTCAACCTCGCTATAGAGTTCTTGACGAATAATGGTCGTTCAGTTTCTCTGAAAGTCATGTGTTACAAACGAATATATTTTTTCACCGACGGCAGTGCTGCGCAATGATGAAGCACTGCTCTGAGCCTCGGTGTATACGTCCTCCGCCTATCAAAAGGGCATTAGCTTTCACAACCCTCCTAAGGGAAAGGGTGTGCCTGCCCTTCTCCTTAGGATATTTTTTTGCATTGCAACGTGACAGTGAACACAAAAAATATGCGATTATATCCGATTAATTCTGCGCTCTGGCATTCGCAAACAACACATGAAGATAATTATTGTAGTTCAGCTGGTTTAAACTACTGCGTCGGCAGTCAGTCGATCGGTCATATCGCTTTTAGAAATGCAAAGTAGCATCAAATAACCAAACTTGAGATATTAGTCTCGGACTGCCGCCATGGGTGTCGGCTGCGTTTTGTCTCGAGCACGCAAGCCAGCGTTGTATCACATTGAGGGAGGGGCAGGTGCCAGTGTGGCCGGCGGAGGGGGCAAGGTGCTGCCTTGTTTGCGTATTATTAAATGTTGACACTGCGCTTCATGTCCCAAAACTGCGGTATGTACACTAAGGACGTCGTATAGTGGAGCGCTTTGAAAACATCAACCCCCAGACTCACGGGGGTTCTTTAACGTGCACCTAAATCGAAGCCCACTGGTTTCTAGCATCGAGCTTCAATCGAAATACTGCTGCCGCGGCCTGGGTTCGATACGGTGACCTCTGGGTCAGCAGTCGTGCACGAAACACTAGCGTAGACTTGAATTTCAGTTGGCTTCCTTGCGGCATGCAGGTTTGCATATACCGGCGCATAGTGCATGAAAGCTCTCGACCTCTGCTCTCGTGCCGTTGCCTGTGTTTCTGCGTTTCTTGCGTCCGTGTTCCTTTTTTTGCATCCTGCACTCAATTGCGTTCCTTCGTCCTCATGCTTTTTTTTGCACCGTGTTTCCTCAGCTGAGCATGTACCACCATAGGCGTATCAGCCGGGGGGGGGGGGGGGGCTGGCGTTTTCTTCGTCTCCCCCCACCCCTCTCACATTTGATAGCGGTCACTCTTGCTGCGCGCTGAGGAACCCAACAAGTTGAAGTTTTCCGTCACAACAGTAATCATTGAATTATGTTATTGCGGGAGAATAAAAGTGTTACGATTCAATGTTAAAACATAGTGAAATCTTACCAACATTTCTTACTGATGATCTTTCTTGTGGGCTCATTGCGGGGCGGGCCACCTATGCGACGCCTTTGCGTCTTGTGCTGTAGTATTGCATAGCTGGTAAGCACCGAACAAGGGCCCTATATTATTACATCGCTTGTTCATGCTTTCATTCTGCTGTGACTTGTTGATGAAGTTACGGATGGGAACGAGCATAGTTTTTAAAGACCGTTCAAAGCATTTCTTACTTCTGGAAAATATTTTTTTTCAAAAAGGATATATCGTCACCACTGCACTGTCGAAACTGTTGCGAGCCGATGAGTGTGACGAACGCATTCTAGCCAGATTTGCGCGTTTTAAACGCGGAAATCTGGCTAAGGGCGTCATTTCTCAGTTAAAATGGGTTTAACTTCGAGGTACCTAAGAAAGCGAGTCGTGTCACCTCTGCTTATGCAAATTCATATCAGTGAGAGCGCATCAATGAAGTTCCTATATATAAATATATATATATATATATATATATATATATATATATAGAGAGAGAGAGAGAGAGAGAGAAGAAAAAGAAGTGTATACTTAAGGGCTCGTTTTTCCATGTTTTGACACAATATTTATATATATACATCAAAATAGAGGTGTGTTGTACGTCGAGAAAGCTTCAGACGCAGCTTGGCGAAAGGCGCTTTATGAGGCAGGTCTGGATACAAGCGAGCGGCATGCGCGAGCTACTACTGCAGCCACCGATCATCATCGTCTTCTTCAACAACAGCAGAGCGTCCGTCATTCAGATTCATTACAACATATATATCCCTGGCGCACGAGTGAGGTAGCTTTGCCCCTCCCCCCTCGCCCCCTCGCGTAAGAGTTGGTACGCCACTGGCTCCAACCCACCCTGTTATGCGCGAAGTGATTTTATTTTACACCCCCCCCCCCCCCGTTCTTTAATTCCGTCGTTCCACATAACCCTTAGCCGTCCGTGTGCGTGCTTTCCATCTCTTGGTATCGACTTCAATGTTCTTACTAACCATCTGTTACAAGAACACTTCTTGTTGGACGAGTTGGTGCATACGTTCATAATTAAGGCGGGAAAATAGACGCAAACATAACGGCATACATGGCAAAGGGTGCCCCATATCGCGTCCTCCGTTGTGTTTACGTATATTGTCATGCCTTAAATTCAGTTATAACCACCTGCTGTCGGTCCTTAACATGGAGTGACCTGCCCAAGTCGATTTTTTCACTTTAAGATATTCTAAAATATGGACTGCCCCTCTGTATATTTGAATGTCTACGCAGACATTTCTGTTTTCAGTTTGGAAAGAGAAAACCTTTACAGCTGACGGCAGAATCTTCGCGAGTGAACTAGGACCGGAAATCAAGAAATCGGAATTTACTCATAATAAGCGGCGCTCACTGATTCACTTGCACCGTGAACTGGAAAGTTGCCTTTTTACATCAACAGTTTCGAGACGGCTTCGAGAAGTGCGTGTTACTTACCTGTACCATTATGATTGGTCCGTGGTTTTTGAAGAGGAGTGGGCGTACCTTCTCAAAGACTTTAATGAGATATCTATCGACATAGTAGATGTAATCTGCCAAGAGAGTAAGACGTGTAAGTTACACACTATAGTGCTTCAAGGGACCCTGAGCTGAAACAATGGATCAGTTTAGGTTGATAAAATGTGCTGATAACATTATTGCCACAAATTTCACCCTCAAAGGAATATTCGTAGTGGAGCAAAATCAAGGCCAATGCCTCGTTTCCAAATTTCGCGCCGAAATATCCGCGAGTGACGTACGGATTTAAAAGCATTTTTTACGTATTCTGGCTGCAATGGCTCCACGAAATTTCCTGAAACTCATTATGTTAAGCCTGCGGCCTTTTCCGAATACAGTGTTGTTCGTTTGTAAGAATTAGGAGCTGCATGGCCCTGGTATACCACGTTAAAATATATGACGTCATGGTTATTGATGCGGGAATTTCAAGGTGGCATCGCTGTCAGCCTTTTCTTTTCACACGTTTCTTCTTGGTAAGGTTGGCGATTTCGGTGTCGTAAAAAAGTGATTTACATATACGAGAAACAGTTCTTCTCTTCAGTGTCCCTTTAAAATGTCACCGTTGATATGGATCTACAGTGGTCATCATAGCGCTCAGGATTCAAAAGAACTGTGCTAACAAAAGATAAACGGGAAATATACCCTCCATCAAATGCAGAAGTTTATTGTGTAGTTATGGCGCGTATATATAGGCATTCAATCGAAACAATAATGAAGCTTAAGTACAGTAATCTACATAAAACAAGCTGGAACTCGTTTTTATTCGTTGGACTGATCTTCGGAGATATGAAGTACGCTACGACAACCGCGGCCCAAATATAAAAGTTTATTCTTAACGGCTATCTGAGTTTTACACCTTGGAGACGGGATACCATCGTATTATCTAGATTATTGAGATTAACTGTCGACTTGCTTAAGGATTAGCCCATATACGCTCAGAATACGCGCACGTATATCGCAGTAAGTTCTTGAACCACCAAACTAGACATTATTCTGGGAGTGTATAGTAACTCATAACAATATGCGAAGGTTAATTTTTAGATTTATGGTCTTAGGAATTGGAAGCCGTCGAAACCTGATATGCTCCTTTCTATATAACCAGACCTGTTTCTAAACTTGACGCCTTCGTGCATTTACGAAAGGGTTCGCTATTATGCCCTTAATTAGACAAATTACGTAATCGTCACTCTTGATTGATTGATATGTGGGGTTTAACGTCCCAAAACCACCATATGATTATGAAAGGCGCCGTAGTGGAGGGCTCCAGAAATTCCGACCACCTGGGGTTCTTTTACGTGCACCCAAATCTGAGCACACGGGCCTACAACGTTTCCGCCTCCATCGGAAATGCAGCCGCCACAGCCGGGATTTGATCCCGCGACCTGCGGGTCAGCAGCCGAGTACCTTAGCCACTAGACCACCGCGGCGGGGCCTCGTCACTCTTAGGCGATCCAGAATTGTACACAGGAGCGTCAGTAACTACGCCATTTCGCGAGTTTGAGACGATAATGTCGTTTTGGGGGCTGGTATCACGAACAAAAGCTGCTGCTAGTTCAACAGCGTTTTCAAAGCTTTACTAAAGCGCATGCGGATTAAAATTGAAAGAAAAAAAAAAACACCCTGTGCCTCAAGCATTCGCCTGAGGCGACTGGAAGACGAAAGCCTTATTTTCAGTAGATTGTATATACCGATAACACGGAAGCTCTCTGGGCATTACGAGGCTTCACACTGCTTCAGAGATCGGCCCCCTTCTGACCAAACGCAAAATGTCGTGTGATGACGTCATCGCATCATGTTAAACTTCTTTTTTTTTTCTTCAAATATCTGGGGCTGCACGTGCCAAAACCACGATATGATTATCAGGCGCTCTGTAGTAGAGGGCTTCCGAAAATTTCGACCATCTGGCGTTTTGTAACTGGGCACTGATATCGCACAGCAAATAGCATTTTACCGCCATCGAATATACGACCACCGCTGCCGGGATCGCACTCACGACCTTTGGGTCAGATAATATTTAAACGTCATAATGACGTTTCAAATTCTGGCTAATGGTTACGTTGTTACGGCTTCTTGAAGTACTCGTGCTGATGGCGATGGTTGATTTTCGCGCTTGATCAGGCATATGAGGCTTTCGCCTTAATAATGAAATAAATAAAAGGGGTTACGCTATAGCGAGGTGTTCTTTCTACCCTCTTTCATGCTGCTGACGATGGTGACAAAGCGAACTATTTAATCATACCATTATTATATACCCACACACATAGAATCGGAAGAAAAACCCAGTACAGTATGGAGTATAGAGTGTACCCCCTTCGTACTCACTTTCGTCCATGGTCCGAAGCTTTATCGACGAGCCATTTTGTAGGAGCCAGTACGGAAGACCTCCCTAAATGAAAAACCACAATTTAATTCCATCACCGCTAAGAAATTATCACACAAAATAAAGAACAAAAAAAAAATATCGCGCACAAGACCAATCTCGAATGACTGTCAATGCTATGTGATTTTTTTTTTTAGTGGCAGGAGCAACGATTGACAATCCTGTTTCTCTTTCTAGAACTTCCAGGTCGAGCACCTGTTCCTTGTAGGCCCGTGTACTCAGATTTGGGTGCACAGTTAAAGAACCCCAGATGGTCAAAATTTCCGGAGCCCTCCACTACGGCGTCTCTCATAATCATATGGTGGTTTTCGGACGTTAAACCCCACAAATCAATCTATCGAGCACCTGTTACAGATTTTTCGATTGTTCTGAAAAAAAAATGTTTAAGAAAAGAAAACTGGTAAGAAATTGGTCGTTATGCTTTAAGCTGGCTCAAGTTGAGTTGGGTTGGATACACATGATATCGAAGCATAAACTCACTTCAAATAAGGACCAATTAACTGCGTGCGTGGATCGTTGCAGCACTTGGCGGGAAGGAAACCACCACGCTCTTTTTCCCACGTGGTCTCTGAGGTCAGCCACGGCAGTGCGACGAAGCACATCTTAACCCAAAGAATAACACGAAGCACACGAATGGCAACGGGCGGATGCAGCTACAAGACACATAATTCGAAGATTAGATCGCTGGTAGAGTTGATATGTGACAACTGTCATCAAAGCATCCTTGGCCACCCAATAGGTTATTTTGAAGCGAATAGCGACTACGTTCACGTCTTTTATTGCAGCTGTAATCGAAAAACAAAAAAGAACGTTCCTAACTTAGGACATGCTTATGGGTCCATCCATTCATTTCGTCACGTGTTTGTTGTAACAGTCGTGACTATCCTTTCCGCAAAATGCACGTAGAGAATTTACATACTCACCATGTCTCGTTCCGCGCAATGTAGGGGCCCGGCCGGAGGATGACCATGAAGCCGAGTCTGTGGGCGATCTTGAGAAAGCGCACAAGGTCCTGCTGCCCTTCGAAATCGTACTGGCCAGGCTCGGGCTCGTGGCTGCTCCACTCGACGTAGCTGCAAAGGCGCGCGCAGTCTCTATAGCGGCCGTATGACTGAAATCACTCGGCTTGCACGAAACGAGGAATGCGCACTCCAACACGGCAGCTAACAAAATACGAACTATGCGCAGCACTCAGCGACTGAAAGATGCAAGATTAGGGCGTTTGCGCCACAAGTGAGTGCTTGTAAAGGCGAGCCGACATATCGTGATATACGGTCACGGTTTCACAACTATGCGCTCACGTGCCACGCTCGTGGACACGGTTTGAAGGTAATGGCATGCAGTTTTCAAGCTGTGGCATACAGCGCTCCCCCGGCGCCTCCGAGAATTACGGACTGACCGTTAGTCAAACCGGTGCAGTCACCATGCGTCACAAACGCTTTTAACCTGCTGTCTGCGGAGTGGTACGCTGAAGAACGGAAGTGAAGTCGCTTCGATTCCGCCTAGACGCGCTGGACACCTACAACTGTATACTATACGTGTTAAGAAACTAAACAAGCTAAAACGTTTTTGTATGAATCTCGCCACTGGCTCATCTGCACGCTTACGTCCTGTACTTTATTATGCCAGGAAAACGAACACAGCAACAGCATTGGATGGTAGTCAGTTGGCGATTAGCTGGCACATTTGGGCGAGATGCTATGTCTGTGAAGTTACATTTTTCATGTAATCTAGCTGACGAGGCAGATACGCGATGTTGACAATATATCAGTAATAAGGCTTTTGGTATTTTCATAAAGAAAGATAAACCGATGTATGCGACTGAACCTGATGGACATTTATTATTACACGCGACGTAAGACGAAAATGTCACTCACGTTTCTATCGTGTTCAAGCCGGACGCCTGCATTGTCTTGAGGCGGTCCTCCCAGAGGTCAGGCAGAATCCTGAAGTAGTGGATGGCGCCCGACATAATCCGGATACGCTCGCCGTTCATCACGAAAGAGTTGCCACGGTAGTCGACTGTGAAAGACGGCTTCCAAAAATAACAAAAAAAGGCATAAACCACCCAACAACATGCTTAAGACCTTCATTCGGCTTTAGAATCATTCACTGCAAAAGCGTCATTTTCTTTCAAATGGGAATTTTCTCGTTAACGAATTTCTCGCTGCAAAGCAGAACCTGAGAAATACTCGTACAGTTGGAATAACACTTGCCTAGAGCGCCAAGCCAGCTGCTCTAGCTGCCGTTTTCTGCAGAAGTATGTAAAGACCGTCGCCAGAATAATACCAAACATAATTATACTGCGTGCTAGCATGAATGGAAGCTTAACTTGGAGTAGAAGCCGTGGCCAACAACAGTATCGAAAGCCCCACGCTCCGCTGCTCGATAGACAAGCGTGATTCTATATATACGTGCAATCACCACCACTCTCAGGATTGGTATGTCGTGTTAGACGCCACAAGAAATAGCGAACAAAACATCTCGCCGGTTACGCAGTGGTACCATACTGAGACATTCCGTATGCCATTCCTGTAGTTACATATGCTTCAATAAGATTCTTACAGAAATGCATAGAAAAAACTCTGCTGTTATTTCATGACAGAACATTAGTAGGGTAAGCACATTAAAGTGATGGTATGTTGCGAGACAACTAAGGGTTCCAGTCATAACAATGGTGCATACGTAACTCGTTTTCGGGCCATATAGGGCACGGTATACAGCCTGTGCTATACGGAAACGAGCAAAAATTGGTTACATAGGCCGTACACCCCACGGTCCTCTGAGACGCTCGTGTTAGCTATTGCTGGCTTATTGCGTAATTGCTATTGTTTTGCTAGTGCTGCTTCAGCAGTAGCAGTGCGTTCAACCAATGCCAATTCAACATTTGACTTGTCGGCCAAATTTTTTGAAGGTTGTCACTTCTACAAGAATTCCGCAGAACTTACACGATTATCAATAAACTTTAGTGTCATGTTTTTAACAGAGTGACTAGGAAATAAAGAATATCACATTTTGTAAGTTTATCATTCTGCCGACACTTCTATTGAATAAAATGGATACAATATACACGCTTTGCACGTTAAAGAACCCCAGGTGGTCGAAATTTCCGGAGTCCTCCACTACGGCGTCTCTCATAATCAAATGGTGGTTTTGGGACGTTAAACCCCACAAATCAAAATCAAATCAATATACACGCTGAACTTAGCCATTCGTAAAATGAGCCTGCTGCATATGACAATGCGTGCGCTCACCCGAAAAAATGAACGCCACATCCACATGCCTTTCTGCAGCGGAAGTGGAAGCCTGTCCGGGAACTTGTACATGGAAATGCAGAGAAGGCAAAATAAAGCGCTACACAAAACCAACCATCTGAAGAGGGCTGGTAGTCTCAGCGAGACAACGGGTCGACCACTCTTGATCCTCATCTCGTCGATGTGTCCTCGCAAGAAGCCACGTCAAAAGCTACAGAAAAAAAGAAACGCAGTCATCATTATCATCTCAATGAAAAACAACCACTCAAGAGATTTTTTTTTTGCCGGGCGAAGGGCTCTTCTTGATCTTGAATTTATTTTTTTTCTTTCGCGAGCAACAAACTGCAAATGACAGGTAGTTATGCAACAACCTCTGCCGTGTGCACTATCGCGACAGAAATCCGCAGATGCACGCGACATTGTACGTGTTGCTCGGATTGAAGCGATATAAAGCAGCGAATGGCCGCATATCCTTCCCGCAGCGTTTTGTTGAGTTATACCAGGCCGCATGCTGAAGCAGTGAGCCGTTTGTTTTACTTCGGAGATCACTTCAACTTTGTTGATATTGCTGACTTTGCGGAGAAAAGCGTAATTTTTTTTTCAGTGCACTTTCGAGGCATCGAAATAAAGTTGAAGGTAGAGAAAGTGTGAAATTGCCCTAACAGACTTTTAGTTGCTTATACGTGAGTACTAAAATATGCGAATACACACTGCTCTCTATACTCTGCGCATCCAGGCCGTGGCGCAGCCAGAGTGCAGCACATCGAGCCTGAGCGTCCCCCCCCCCCCCCCCCCTTGAAAGCACTTTTTTTTTTGTCATGGCATACATAGTGCAAAATGACCATTTGCTTGCCGAGTCCCCACTTCTGATCAAGGAGGTGCCCCCCTGCCTCTCTTTCCTAAAAAAAAAATTCTAGCCAATACGCGCCCCTGTATCCAGGCAAACGCTTGCACTATCAGGATGATTGAACGACCACAGACTAATCACGTTACCCGCCCCCGCCCCGCCACGGTGGTCTAGCGGCTAAGGTACTCGGCTGCTGACCCACAGGTTGCGGGATCGAATCCCGGCTGTGGCGGCTGCATTTCTGACGGAGGCGGAAATGTTGTAGGCCCGTGTACTCAGATTTGGGTGCACGTTAAAGAACACCAGGTGGTCAATATTTCCGGAGCCCTCCACTACGGCGTCTCTCATAATCATATAGTGGTTTTGGAACGTTAAACCTCACAAATCAATCAATTAATCAATCAATCAATCAAATCATTACCCCCCCCCCCCTCGCGATAAAAGGCGCCTCGCGAATATCGGTTTATCTCGATAGTTTTTAATAAAAGAGAAGCCATGTTAAGTAAGATACATCTCACGTACAAGTGTAGCACAGCTCGGATCAGGAAACCTTTTGTTTGTTTTGCCGCCTACCTAAAAGATCTTGGATCATACCTACCAGGGGGATCGGCCACACTACACCTTATAAGGAATATTGAAATGCAATGATATCTACAAGAAGAGAGAGAGAGAGAGAGATAATTCAGAGAAGAACGAGACGTAACGTACACAAAAAAAAGTGAAAAGGGCGATAGGATTTTGAAAAAAACCAGACATAAGAGCTAGAGAAAACCAAGGGGCAAAAAGAATTGTATTCATAAGGCGGTGCCCCTAGCAACGTATCCTTCCGGTTGCCTGAATGAATTAATGTAACACAAATAGAAAGCACTGTGGCCCGTGCCCAACTGACCGACTCCAAACGATAAGAGGTTAGATTTAATAAATGCTAATCCCAGAATACCAACTGGCATTTCAAGAAATATTCGGCGAAGTGAGGCAAAACGGTGGCATGAGAGAAGAAAGTGATGTATTGTGGGATCAGTAAGTGCCTTACCTCAGCAGGGCGGCTGTCGTCCTTCTCGTTTTCTTCTAGGTGGGCGCACTTGATGATGATGATGATGATAATGATGAGCCTTTAGCTTTGCTGGCACTCGCCCACAAAGGGGGATCGGCCAAGAACCGGGCCGCAGGACCATCAAGAGATATAGCTATGAGTAAGGCATTCAGGTGGTCTCGTAGCCGGAAATAATAATAACAATTGACTAACAAGGTAATCTTTTTGTTGCCATTATGTACGCACACACGGCAGAGCAAACTTCCCTGTGGCTACAACCTAATGTAATCCCTCCGAAGGATAAAATTACTGCCACGTTTATTTTTAAACCTAGCTTCTCAATTGGTTCGACCAGGTATCTTTTCCTTTGATAAGAATATCGTTGACAGGATAAAAAGTAATGATCTATTGATTATGATTCCTTGCAAAAAAGACATAACGGAGATGCTGTGAGTCCAGCTTTATGTAGGTAATATTTCGGGTGCGAAATGCTGCATCGTAATCTGGTTATTGTAATTTCTAACTGCCGAGATACACACCACTGTTTGTTCCAGCAAAATCTTAGATGTGCCTGTGACTTTATCCAATGATAATTTTTCTATTTCCTTGTGTTTGCCCCGCCGCGGTGGTCTAGTGGCTAAGGTACTCGGCTGCTGACCCGCAGGTCGCGGGTTCGATTCCCGGCTGCGGCGGCTGCATTTCCGATGGAGGCGGAAATGTTGTAGGCCCGTGTACTCAGATTTGGGTGCACGTTAAAGAACCCCAGGTGGTCAAAATTTCCGGAGCCCTCCACTACGGCGTCTCTCATAATCAAATGGTGGTTTTGGGACGTTAAGCCCCACAAATCAATCAATCTATTTCCTTGTGCAAACAAGCATTTATATATCTGAATGTTGTTACATAGGCGAAATTAGGTAAAATAGGTAAGAGTGGTTTGCTTGAAGATGCTCTTTGGCTAATGAGTCTGCCGTCTCATTTGAATAAATTCTGCAGTGGCCAGGTACCCACAGCAAGTGGAATTTTTTCAGGTTTTCTGGTGATAAACTACTAATAATACTCAATAATGTCAAATTTTTTGCTGTAGTTAGTGCAGTGCATACTGAGAGAGAATCAGTAAGTATGACTGCTTCTTATTCGCTTGCAGGAAGTTTATGAAGTGCTTGAATTATAGCAAAGAATTCAGCGATGAATATAGGCGTGTAATCTGGTAATCGAACTGAAAAAGACCAGTCGAGAGAAGTACAGAAGATGCCTACTCCAGCCTTATCGTTTAGTACGGATGCATCCGTCGCAATAATGTTGTTTATGGATAGACGAGTCAAGTAATCACGTAACTGATTATTTAAATATCGAAAGGGCAGTTGTTTCGCATTAGAGGGGAAAATATCATCAAATTTAATTTCAAGTTTTGGATGAGGCACCTTCGTTAAGGCGATCTGATAAATATTTACATTGAGAGGTTCTAACAGCGCTTGGACGAACCTAATCTGAGGGGAGTGTAGCCTAGACCATTGTGTTCCGAAGAATGCGGTTGGTTGTTTATTAAAAACGTGACACGCTTGTCTCAGAGGTGAATAGTATATTTTTAAGAAAGTTTGAACTGTAAGTATTCTAAACTGAGTTAACAAAGGTGGAAGACGCGCTTCCACATACAAAACATTATTTGCCACAAATTTGGGGAGTCCAAGACACAAGTGCAAAGCTTCTCTTTCTAATAATATTAACTGTCTCGTCTTGTATGCCGCGCTGCCAGAAATAATGCGCACCCGAATCCCATAATAGGTCGCACATACATTTTGTAAATCATTATCAATGAACTCTTTCGCAATCCTGTTTTTCTGTTTCCCAGTTTTCATAACCACCCCAAGGCACGTGACGCTTTACAGACAACCTCGTCTACATGGCTTTTCCAATTTAGCGTCCTATTATATACGATGCCTAAATATTTCAGGAAATCGACCTGGGCAATAAGCTCGTTACAATACACCAGGGAAATGTTGACAGGATCCTTAAAAGAGAACGGCAGAAGCGCACTCTTTTCGACGTTCAATAACATATGGATATTGTCAAGCCATGCTTCTAGCATGGTCATGTAATTCTGTAATGCCTGATACAATGAGTGCAGGTCACTGTTTGATCGGTCATCTCAAGCTTTCCCCTTGATACTATCTGCACTAAGTTAGACTGCGTACTTCCGGACCATGATTGGTGTAAGATAGACCTCTCAGTGCACTGCTTACAATAGGTTACAATGTGATTACTCGATCTATTCCGAGAGCTAGGTGCCACGGAAACACAGTATGGTATTGACGTTCAGCACTGGTAATTTGTGCTGTTTGCAATGTAAAGCACCCACCCCTTGGCGGAAAACCTTCCGCGTCACATTGATACCGCTGAGAACGAGCGCAGACATCATCGCACTGACGGGCCCGTTGAGTGGCGTAGCCTTCCGCCTGCTCTTGCCTCCCGGCGTGTCGCACTCCACGTGCGCAGCAACTGCCGTCTCTGCGTTTGAGGGCGGAGAAAAAGAACGAAGACCTCGAGCTAGCAGTTTGCTATAGACGTTCAAGTTTATCAATATGAAGAGCTCTAAAGCTACCCGTTTGTCATTTCGCATGTCTTAATGCGAACGGCCTAACAAAATGATTCATGCCTTTCGAGGAATCAATAAATAAATTCCATTGTAGCCGCCAATGACATAGATCATACCTCCCAGTGTCGCCAAGGCGAAGGTGCTACGGGTGCAGGTCAGCGGTGGAGCCTTGTGCAATTTGAGTGGAAGGCTTTCGCCGCTTTGGAGCACTGCGCAAAAATACATGCGGAGCGAAGGTGCGCAATGAATGCTCTCTGCCCGAGTTTTGAGATTGTTGTGGCTCGCTTACTACATTGAACGGGAACAAGACTTAATATGGGATATTACGGATGACCCTGAATTACAACTGTTTACACTACTTACAAAAGAACCCTAGCATATAGCTTCGAGAGCTCGGCCGCTACAATATATATATATATAAAAACGTGACACTTCATTTCACTCACAGTCATAACGCTTGGCCGAGCGATTCGGGATTTCGACTTCAGGATTACGAGATTTCGGCTTTCGAGGAACAGTGAAGACTGACGAGCTCCACAATTTCTTCAGGCCTGACCAGCGTATATAAGTGTGACTTCTCCCCTTCCCTGTTCCATGCCGGGAAAAATATACAAACTATGGAGGAGAACTGAAAATTAGCGTGACTTGTTGACGCTTAGCTGCTGTTTGCCCGAGTCGACGCTGCGGGTGCATCTGTTTGCGCTTGACTTGCGTCACTTGCGTCTGAGTCTTCCGAACTTGAAGCTTTTCTCTCATGCACTGGACTTTCGCCTGCGCTTCTTTATGAAAAAAAAAAAACTGCGTCCGATGCCGAACGCCTTTTAAGGTGGCCATTAAGACTTATAAGCGAGACATTTTGAGATGCTCGCCTTATGTGCTAGGTGTTGTACACGTCATGGTGCAGGGCAGTGTGTATATAGTAACTAATTGTACTATATCGTAGTCACATATCATCTTACCACCCCCTTTCTGTCACTTTTACGCTTAGTCCCGTGAGGAGTATAAAATTACCGGCATGCTTTCCAAGGCGGCCTCTCCTTTCTCTCTTTTTATTAAACATTACCCTCAAAAGTGCCCCCACAGCCGCCATGCTAGTAAGTGTAGTATAACGCTACCGTTCAGCCAAAAAAAAACGTGTTTCCATAAAAGGGTGTTTTCCTTTCATGCTGTATAGACAAACGAATTAGCCCATCGGTAATGCTGGAGTTCACGGGCAATCACGAGTTAGCGTTTCAACCGTGCAGCCTGCTCGGTCTCCATAACGAGAAAAGAGCAGGAGGAAAAAATCACAGCATATCCACGAAGTGAATGATGATGAGTGGGCGAAGCTCCGGAGGTAAACCTGGTAAACCATGAATCCTCCGAACATTTTGCCCACTCGATTTTATTGCAACGCTCCCCCTAGCGTACGTCGCCGCACTATATCGAACGATGACACGCGCCATATGTGGCATCATTCCTATTTTATAACACCTCGCATCTTTCATAATCAACTACACGTACCGCCGTCTAGTTTATAACATCTTGCATCTTTTCGATGGATGGATGGACGGACGGACGGACGAACGGACGGACGGACGGATGGATAGATGGATGGATGGATGGATGGATGGATGGATGGATGGATGGATGGATGGATGGATAGATGGATGGATGGATGGATGGACGGACGGACGGATGGACGGATGAACGGATGGATATGGCTGTACCCCTTAGATCGGGCGGTGGCTAGCGTAATACTTATTGCCGTCAGCTACAAGTACCGCCATCTAGTGAACACTGCAAGAACTGAACGAGAGGTGGCTACATACAGGGGACGCACAGCCCACGCCTTAAGAAGCTTCGCTCCTAATAATGTTTATTGGTGCTCCATTCCCTCTTCTCTTTGACGGGAAAAGAAGATAGAAAATAAAAATAATTATCTGATGTTCTGCGCAAGAAGATCGGTGAGTGGGATCCTTTGTCCGGAATCCCATGGGCGTAAGCCGCTGCAGTGTCCTCGCACGTGAATGGATGGATGGATGGATTGATGTGGCTGTACCCTTTGGATCGGGCGGCGGCTAACGCCAGCTAGCCTTAATACTTAGTGAACCACCAACTAGATTTATCTTTTTTCCCCCTTTAAATAGTGAAGTATAGGACCGGTACTTTGCAGTGAATGGTTTAATTTTCACTCGTGCCTTGACTTTAGCCACAAATCAGATAACCTCCTTCTAGTTAAGTCTACCCGCTTAAAGTCTATTTTTTCCTCCCTGTCTCTAAACCCCAGTGCTTTAAAAAGCTCTGCGCCATCATTCTGAACTATAGGGTGAAGTTCTTTACAGAACATTATCAAGTGTTCGGCAGTTTCCTCCTCCTCTCCGCATGCACTGCATACCAGTGTCTATCCCCTCGTATTTGGCCCGATATGTCTTGGTTCGCAATACTCTTCTCCTGGACTCAAACAGCAGAGAACTACCCCGAGTATTATCATAGATCCTTTCCTTGGCAATTTCCTGCTTAAAAGTTGGATAGATCTCTAGTGCGGACTTCTTAATCATGCCGATTTCCCACATGTCAGTCTCTGTTTCTTTCACCTTCTTCTTAACCGATAGTTCTTTTTGGTTTGGCCCCCTGCTGTTTTCTAAGTATTTACCCGTCAATTGTCTGGTTCGCTTCCTCCATTTTGTATCGACATTCTTGATGTACAAGTAGCTGAAAACATTCCTTGCCCAATGCTCCTCCCGCATTTCTCTCAATTGCTTCTCAAATTTTGTCTTGCTGCTAGCTTCCCTGCCCTCAAATGATGTCCATCCCATATCACCTTGTACTCCCTCATTTGGTGTATTCCCGTGAGCTCCTAAAGCAAGCCTACCTATTCCACAAGAGGGGCCTCCTTTCAGAAACGCCCTCTCTTGACCTATTCTGGTATTTACTTGATCTGTAATGCAGCAGAAGCTAACCAGAACTTCTTTAGGTACGTAATAAACTTTATGAATCCAGTGAGAAATTACTGGCTCTTCATTGAGGCATGTTTACACGTGTGCGGGACACATGTACTCAAACAAATGTTCTGACGTTACGCCGGGCCATAAGCTACATACCCTTTAAGTAATTCAGCGTTCTGGTTCACCTATGAACAGTGGCTCACGCACACGTTGAAGGACTGCCGAAGCGTCGATGTTTTTTTAACTTTATTTAAGGCATAAGAATGAGGTAAATGTACGGAAAATATTTTTACGCACGACAAAATGCATAAAAACTTGTGTTTTTGTGTTTTTTGTGTTTTTACACACAAACACACATACTTGTGTTTTTACACACAAACACGCACTCACACACACACACACACACACACACACACACACACACACACACACACACACACACACACACACACACACACACACACACACAGACACACACACAGACACACACACACACACACACACACACACACACACACACACACACACACACACACACACACACACACACACACACGCACACACGCACACACGCACACACGCACACACGCACGCACGCGCGCGCGCGAAAGTAATATTTTGCACAGCCAAGCAAACTTTCACATAGTTAAACTCGGATATGTATGCTCGAAAACATCAAGAAAGAAACAGGAGGAAATTGTTGGAAGCACAAACTGCTATATAGCATGGGTTCTCAGAGGTTTTTGTGAGCAGCCCAGAAATAATGCAACTCGCCTCCATTTTGACCCCCCCCCCCCACACCAGCAACAAATCACCTCCATTAACCACGAAACACTACATGACATCCATATCTTTTTTTTATTTCTGAAGCAGTCTGAAAAACTAGTGTGGCTTTGTGGTAGAACGCCTGGATGTCATGCAGAGGGCCTGGTTACGATTCTCATTGGACTCTAGGATGATTATTCGTATATTTTTTCCATTTATGGGTCACAGACAGACAAGTTGCTTCTAACGAACCACGCCATCGCTGTTGCACACACCCGAATTTGTGCAATTTTCAGCTGTAACGTAGTAACGAAACGGGCCCATGTCACCAGATGCGTTATCAGACGAGTCATGCGAAGATTGATGGCTCGCAATCTATGGCACCATAATTTTGCACAATGAAATTATTACACTTCAGCGAAAAACTGCCACTTCCCACTTGATATCGTGGCATATATTACTCAATGATTTTCTGGTAGTTTAAGAATAGCTGTGACATCTGCACTGCGACTGCTAAACCCAACCGGATGAGAAGTATGACACGTTTACGAGTCCGTGTACGAAATACCAGCATTCCACACTTTCATACCAGGCCCATAGCGAAGAATATTTTTCTGGCGAAGGGGGGGGGGGCACTTGTTGAAGGCCTTATTTGTCATTGATAAAACACCCACTCCATCCGTATTTTGAGGGGAAAAAAAGAGGCCCTAACCCTCTCATCTCCCCTACTCGCTACGGGCCTGCCTCATACATACACATGCAGCGCTAGCCTTGGCTGACTGTCTTAGTCTTAACACTTTACTGCCGGATGTCACGGATTCACGTACCGAAAGCCTTCGAACAAGCAACGAAATGCGTTCCACCTTTATTGCACGCATTGTTTATGCAATGGCAGCAGAACAATAACAGTGAAAAGGACATTGCATACAAAAATTCGGAAGTACTGACGCATGTAATTGCTGTCAATTTTTAGTGATGCGAATACGCGCAGAAAATGCTGTATAGATTCTCGGACGAATCGTCCGTTCGACGCAGCAATAAAGTCGAATGGAGCAAAAGTTTCAGTTTATACATACTAATGCGTTCATGTTTTTATTTTAATACTTTAGGCGCATGTAAGTTACGTTAATTTATGATTGGGCGTAGTTTCGTGTAAGAGTCAGAGTTTTCTTGCCGCGTGTTACACGCGATTTCTCCGGCGTGGCTTATCAGGAAGCCTGTGGATTCGCTGGCGGTAGCAAAGCCCCTATGGAAGGAAGAGAAAGTGAGCGATGAGTGGCATGTTAAAAGTTTTAACATTACTAACAGACTACTTCCCCGCTCCCCAGAAATAAAGCGTGAGCGTTATGTCTAAGGATCTACATCAGCATGGCAAATCTATATTCTCCTAGATACGTTCAGACGGGCGTTCGCAGTGCACCAGAGTGCGCTTTAGGTATTCCGGTATATATACATGTCAGTTTGCGCATGTTTACTTACTTCATAAGTTCATTAAAATTATCGTTCCGGAATATCTCTCTAGCAACCTTCGTTTAGGCTTGGCTTTCAGAGCTCTGAGCACGCACCAGTCACGGTTATACCTGAGCAATAGTCGATATTCGAAAATCGAGAAATAGAACAGTCTCCTATTCTATATTCGCATGCATACACATCGATAGTAGAATATTCAACACGCTCGAATATTGGCTAATAACTATATGGAAAATTTACAGTTGTTGAAGCCCCTATAACTGCGCTGCAGAGCCTCAAGTATATATTCTGTCTTTGTTAATATACGCTATACAAAAAATAAAAATAAAAATTACTCAGGTAAAATGTTAAAATGTAAAGGTAAATGTGTAAAAAGCTACTGAAAAAAGAAGAGGGCAGTCTCCTTCTTTGCAACACTCGCACTCTATTAGAAATTTGGGGCTCCACCATCCAGCCGATCTTGGGACAGTCATGTCTCCGGAATTATAACAAGACGTTTAGCCTTGCCACTCCGATGAACTCTCCATTCGCTGTATGCGTGGTTTGCTATGTCTTTTTGTGCATTCGTGACTCCGTGCCATTGATTGATTGATTGATAAGTGCGGTTTAACGTCCCAAAACCACCATAAGATTATGAGAGACGCCATAGTGGAGGGCTCTGGAAATTTCGACCACCTGGGGTTCTTTAACGTGCACCCAAATCTGAGCGCACGGGCCTACAACATTTCCGCCTCCATCGGAAATTCAGCCGCCGCAGCCGGGATTCGAACCCGCGACCTGCGGGTCAGCAGCCGAGTACCTTAGCCACTAGACCACCGCGGCGGGGCACTTCGTGCCATTGATCCGGTAAACTTTCTGTGCTAGCAAGTGTACGACATTCCAGCCCACTGATAACCTAATTGCGCGGGGCTAGGAGAAACTGACAGAACCAAATTAGACTGCGCACTCCTCGATCACGTTTGGTGTAAAAGAGAACCTTCCAGTGTATTGGAAACAACTATTAAAGGACCCGTAAACTACTCAGAAGCCGAAAGGTATTTGTGGCGTAGCACGAGCCTTCTCAGCGCTGCTTCAACAAACGGGTAGCCGCGAGAATTTTGCTAAATGGTGCCGTTCTGGCGGAATTAGACGTATTTTACGATTCTTAAGAGGCCCTCGCTGAGTTCGTTATGTTCCTCACTACACTCCGTTCACCGGCTCGTCACTCGTCCTGGCAAACTGCTCGGAAAATAGAAAGTTCGGCGAGAGTGCATATCTGCGAGCAGACACAAAGGTTGAAGTAGCGGCGAACGCTGGGGATACTGAAAGGTCCGGAGAAAACAACGAATTTTTTCTTGAAATTTTTGGCGCACCCATGGTTATTTGCGCTGCCGCGTTTGGAATTATTGACAATGGCTGCATTTGAACTCGATGCGCGTGTGTTCACTTAATGTGTTGAAAAATATCGGATCGTATTTAGGAGTCCTTGAACACTGCTCTGGAGTTAAGCGCCACGGAAATGCTGCAGGGTGTTGATCCGCGGCACAAGGATCAATAATCCCTGCAGCTCCACGAGGGATTTATTTGAATTACAATCTCAAGCACTCACCCCGGGCGGAGAACTTTCGCGTCACATTAATACCACTGAGGGTGCAGCCAGCCACTGCACTGACGGGCGTGTTGAGGGGCTTGGCCTTGATCCAGTGCTTATCTCCCGGCGTGTAGCACTCCACGCTGGCCAACAGCCCAGTCCCTGCGTTTGAAGGCGGCGAAGATGAAGGAAGACCTCAAGCTGATAACTTGTGTTCGAATATAAAGTTTGTAGACAAGGATATGACACACGGATACAGAAACCAATGTGTCACTTCACACGTTTTGGTTCGATTAGCGTTAGAAGAGAAAGCACACAACGTTATTGTCAGACTTCATGGGGTAAGTGATCCGACAGGCTGGACTGGTGGCCCCCACCTCTGCTCTCTATGTGGCCTTTCACGCAAGTGAAGGTTAGAGCCTCTTCCTAGCCATCCGGCGTGGGAGTAAAAAGGAAGTCGGGCAATTAAATGTGGCTATTAACACATAATGCAAGCTATGCGGGTCAATAATGTCGAGGTATACATATACGAGCATAAATGTATGGAAACTGGAATGAATACATTTGCGATTGGAGCCATGCGGTCAAACGGTGCTTGGTTTAACTTGTGGTGTGAGGGTGAATATAAATGCCTAGATAGACGGTAATACTGCGTGAGGTCATCGTATGGTAAAGCTTCCCCAGTGTCCCCCGCATCAGAGGCGCGTCCTTCCGTTGAGCTGTCAAATCCTCGAACGTATTGGCGGGTCCCCTCGCTACCTTGTTTTCCCTCGTGAGCCGGGACTCAATGGAGCCTCGTACGTCTTACTCGGCATCGGTAAGGAGGGAGGGAAAAGTGAGCGCGGAATTGTGGGGGCCACAAAGCCACGTGCGAACTGGAAAATAGCGGCCTAGGAGTCGCTTGGTATGAATACGGCTGTTACTGCTAAAGGCTATGGCTCCTTCCTATCACATCAGTCGTGTTAAGCGCACTGACGGAACCAGCGTTTTTACTTGGGGCGAATCTGCGTTGTTGCAGGGAAGTGTGATCAAGCTTATTGCGTATACATTGGTTAAGCCTCGGTACTAGGCGGCGTCAATTAATGTTTGCTGCTTCGGGTTTGGGCGCGTATGTTTCTGCAAGGATTTGGCACTCGCTTTCCTTCCGCCATCATAGTGGTTGGCCCACATTTTCTTTCAGTGGTTTTATCAGTAATATATATATATATATATATATATATATATATATATATATATATATATATATATATATATATATATATATATAATAATGTTGGGTGGGATGATGGGGTGCCCGTTAACCATTGGAAATACGTTTCGCCCGATTTTATCGAAGATTCAATGGTCCGTCCTGCGTCATCGTGATCTGCGAATTCGCGCCATACGACGAAGTTCTTCTGAGGTGTTACGAAGTGCCATACGATGAAGTTCTTCTAAGGCGTAACTTTGGCGTCATTATGACGTCACATGCTTACCACACATCCCAACACAACCAGTGACGTACGTTCTGGGAGTTTTTGTACCACTGCATTTGCTGAAACCATAGACACTTAACGACACTGAACGAGACACTCAGAAGCTTCCGTGTTGAAATTGAAATACCATTGAAGCCGCCAATGACGTAGATGACGTCTCCGAGCGCTGCCACGGCGAACGTGCTGCGGGCGCCGTTCATAGAGGGCGCCCTGCGCCATCTCAGCGGAAGAGTGTCCTCGCTTTTGAGCACTGCACAATACATTCAGAGAGAGGGCACACAGTGAGCGCTTCCTGTACGAGTTGGCAAATTCTTGTGTCTCGTACACAGCAAAGAATGGATACAAGGCGTAATGCTATGTGGTGCTGAAAAATGGGGCGCGGGGATAAGAGCACTGCTTGCTAAAGCACCCCAGCACTGCTTCACGCACGTCATGGGCCCAGTCGCTACACCTAATGTACATACAGGGTGTTTCAAGAAATATGCCGGTACATCTTCAAAGATAACAACATACGGATATTTTCTCGCTTCCTTCACAATTTCTTTTTCTGTGACGGTGGGTGCCTTAAGATTGTTAAAGACATTATTAGGGACAGTAGTTGAAGTAGTTACATTTGTTAAATGAATAATTAGTGGAGTTAGGCACAACAATATAAAACGGGGGAATTCTATGCGAAGAACCCATCTCAGTTTTCAGACTTCGCAAAAGCGGCCTTATACAAACTGTCAACTAATGAAATTCACCAAAATTCACCAGAAGATTGATTGATATGTGGGGTTTAACGTCCCAAAACCACTATATGATTATGAGAGACTCCGTAGTGGAGGGCTCCGGAAATTTAGACCACCTGGGGTTCTTTAACGTGCACCCAAAATTCACCAAAAGAATCACAATCGAGAGGTGGAAGAGCGCTACTGCCATAGTCGTCTCTGACTTCGAGAATGCGCGAATGTTGTTACATCAAGGATAGTCGACTTTGTTGCGCGAGTTTGCGGGCTCCGATTGCAATAATAGCACGCATAACGCACAGACGTTATCGAACGCGAAGAACTACACCTTTGTAACCATTCTCTTGAAAAGTGACGTCATTCTGGTGGTCGGCTAATTGCATTCATCGGTGCTTCGTTTTCGGCTTTGCCGTTGAGCTTGGTTGAATTTCTTTACGCCACAATAATGACTAGAGGCCGTTTTTTATATATCAAAGCCCCGATAGGCTTATCGCATGAAGAACTTCAATTCTTATCTTACATAAGTGTCGAACTTCATTAAAATTCAGTAATTGGACTTTCTTAATTACTGTCCCTAATGGTGTCTTTAGGCATCTTTCGAGGCCTGCAGATAAAATGCAGTGTGTGGCACTCGATTGTTCCCATATTTCGCACTTGTTACAATATTTTGCCTTTAAAGGCGCCCTGCAACACTTTTCCAGCATTATAGCGCGGCACGTGGACTGGAAATTACAAATAGTTATCAAATTCCAGCTAGGACAATTGATACTATAAACCCATATGATCGCGCCATAAACCTACACTTCGCGGCCATTGGCTGATACGAGCACCATGAGCTGCGTAGTTACCGTGGCCGCTGTGAGATGCCCGTGCACACAAGAAAAAAAAAAAAAGAAAGAGGCGTTCAAGGTCATGACGCTAGCATGACAAGCTTCTTTTCTCTGTACCACCACTCTCAGCTTAGCTTCTAGCACACTCGTCGGGAAGAGATAAGCGTCCGACTAACCTCCGACTCATATTTGACGATGGTTTTTGCGGCATTCGAGTCACGAGACAATGAACTCCTGTATTCAAACAATGTTGGCTTAACTAGTGGCTCTGACGCACAAATGTTGTCACAATAGTCCATGCTATACTGGCATTTGCATCTAAATACAATGTCACTATTCTCCGACAACAGTGGTTCCTCCGTCGCTTGATGTAAGAGAGTGGTAGTTGTAAACGATGCAGTAGCGTGGAAGCGAGTCATAGTACCCCACCTGTGTGCAGCCGGCGGCGTCCGTCGAAGCCCCCAATGACGTATAGCAGACCGCCGTGACCGAACATGCGGTGGCTGCAGCGGGGATAAGGCAGCGGTCGCACCAGCGACCACGAGTCCAGCGATGGATTGTATTCTTCCACACTCTCGAGTACTTTCCGGCCGTTGAAGCCACCGCTAATGTACAGACGGCCTGTGGGAACAACGAACACGGTCGAAGACGGTTTTGAATGACGGTGCAGTGTTCTTCGTTCTAGTAAAGAAACTGAAGAGGTCGTATGAGCCAAAACTACGTGAATATTTTTGCAACTCTAAGGGACATCATGCGGATGCACTTGAAAGCTTTGAATAAAAAGCAACATTCGGTACACCTGGCTCATTCAATAACTTCTCTCGCCCTAAAGTGAAACAGGCCGGCAAACAGAAGCGAATTTCTCACTTAAATCGAAAACAGCGTTCGTGTTAATGCATTGAAGGCGCCTGAGCATCGAAAGGTGTCAGCATGTCCAATCCAATCAGCGAATCCCATCCGATCACTCTTTATATTCAAGTGTAGCGCTACCCGACAGAGAACACTGATAAGATTCAACGAGAAAGCATGGTCAGTAATGGGGTTTTGTGGCGCAAGGGTGACCGGTAGCTGAACAGAGCCATCTCTTTTCATGTGGTACTAGCGATAACCGATAGTTGTAATGACGGTTCAACAAAAAAGCAATAGCAAAAAAAAACGTAGTTTCCAACGTATGGCTTGCCTGGAAAACCAACAATGCGGGATCCATGACACAACCTGCGCTTTGGTCAAGTGACGCAGTTGCATTAAAGCGAAGTTTGTGTATTACGCCCGTGTGTATTACGCTCGTTTATGTATTACACCCTTGTTTACCCGTATCACTCGTGGCTCCTGTCAAACGTACGGTACTCTTACAGATTTATACTGCTTAAAAGCTCTGTTTCTTGCGATACACATTGCGTTGAAATAAATAACGCGTGACACTTCTTAGTCCCACACATCCAAGCTTGCAAATGCATTCTTCCTTCGAGCAGTTGTCCAAGAACGAATTCGGTTATTCGCGTGCATTTACAACAATGTGGGTTCCCGCATATGTTTCTCAACTGTGAATCAGATGTGACAGGCTGAAACAGAAATACATAAAACGAACTGACCTTTGAAAGAACACGCTGCGCCGTCGCTTCGCCTCCTCATCATTCGCGCGATCATGGTCCACTGGTTTGTGCGGGGGCTGTATCGCTCCACGGTGGATGTGCGCTCGACGCCTGCGTCATAAAAGGAGAACCGGAATGGTATCCGTGAAATGAGGGGTTACGAAGACAATTAAAACAACATGCTGACAACGATTAAAGCAAATAAGTGCTTTTCATTGCTTTTATCGTGGTCAACGTGTTTTATTTGTGTTGACGTATGTACGTGACCGTATGGGTTTTCGGCCAACTACCAACTTCAACGAGAGAATAATAGAAGACGCCTCATTCACCAATTTCTCCAAGTTTTTGCGACATCGACGCAATCTTTCCGAACGAGATATACGATGCGGCAGGCTTACACTCGCTAGCTATATACTTGTAGAGGGTGTTGCTTGTGTTATGTCGTTTCCAGTTGGTCAAACGAATTTACAGTGTTCATTTCAAAAAGGATTCACTTCAAGAGTGGCAATTTCAAAACAGCGCATAGAACGATTAGGAAAAGGTAAGGCAACAGAGGTAAAGAGCGTGTCCTTTCTTAATCGTCCCATGGACTGTTAACACTTCTTCAAATGAATCTCCAACAACTCCCCCAAGCGTCAACGCTTGCCAAATAATAATAATAATAATAATAATAATAATAATAATAATAATAATAATAATAATAATAATAATAATAATAATAATAATAATAATAATAATAATAATAATAATAATAATAATAATAATAATAATAATAATAATAATAATAATAATAATAATAATAATAATAATATAATAATAATAATAATAATAATAATAATAAACCTTCATTTTTCACGAAAGAGTACTCAAGAAAATGCAAATCTACAGCCGTGTAAATGACCAGCATTATAAACAAGGTAGATTAACAACAATGAAAAGATGAAGAAACAGGATCAGCAGCAAGAATTCAAAGCAGTTTCTTAAGAAATTAAGGTAATGAGGACACATTGCAACTTTTGATGTGAAAAGAAAACAAGCGAATTTTGGAGAATTGGAGGTTCACAAGAAATAAGCTTCCATAAACACCGGAATTCCCCCCGAAAATAAACTCCGAAAACACAGAGCCCTAGCTACAGCCCAGCAAAGGAAGGCCTCTAAAACAAGTTTCGCAAGAAAGGATATTCGAAATTATGGACATCGCGTAGACAGAAATCAGTACTCCCATGTCTGAACGCTGAGTGAAAACACAGAAGTGAAGTTGCTTTGCTTTGTGTGCATTAAAAATAAAATAAAAAGCTGCCAGGCCTGTTCGGAACGCGCAGCACGGCCACAGCGAAAGCTGGAAGAGCAGCTTATCAGAGCCTTTGCTAAACACTCTCTGGGTAACCATAACAAGCACACTACCAGGGTACCCGCTACGCCATTACTCAACATAATTTTATTGCGATAGCAATTATATGTACAGTCTCAGCTGGTTTTTACCGTCACCGCCGCGGCCGTCATTAACGCATATGCACATGTGTGTATATATTCAGGGAAGGATGCGCTAGCCTCCTCTTTCTGCGGAGCGAACATTGCCTTTCCGGTCGGGGTCGTCTGCGCGCCCGCTTATCTCGTGAGCGAACAAGGGGGAGGGGCGCTTATGGTTGCCGCGCTATCACGGCAACAATCAGCACGCACCTTGTGCCCCCTACAGCAGGCGGGAGCTTCTACGGGCTGTGCTCACAGCAAGAAAAAACGGTGCCAGAAGTGTACCTGGATCACACCAGCGTTTTGTAGCGTTGCGTCAGATCGGATGATAGCCCTGTTTCGTAAAACATTCGAGTATGTTGCTATCGCATTCATTGCTTCGCCCTTATGGCGAAACTGAATTGTGCGTGTAGTGAAGAGCCATTCACTATTCCATCTTCTATCATACTTCGGAGAAGCATGGTACCAGCTGCATCAACTTGCCAGAAATTCTGTACAATTTTTCAAAGATTTGGCTGACGAAGATGAATTATGCCTGAAGCTTTTGTAATGGGTTGGTGCATTTGATGGCTCACTCGTAACGCAATTCGCATTGTGTGACGCCTGGTTGTTGT